GGCCGCAGGGGCAAGAGGGGGTCGCATTTATCACGGAAGCCCCCAGCCGACTCTGGCGGGGAACTGAGCGCGCCAGCGCGGGTCACCGCCCTGCACAGCGGGAGAAGTCACCGCAGTGACGTTCCCTGGGCGCTGGACGGCCGAAGGTCTGGGTGAGAACTTGAACCCGCCTGAAGCGGAGCCTGAGAAAATGCAGGCCCGCTGAAGCCCGCCCGCCGGCCCTGAGCCCTGAAAGCCGCCCGCGGTTTCCCCTGACCCCGCGGCCGCTCTGCGCCTGTTCCGATTTCTTGCTGGTTGAATACCTCCCTCTCCACTCCCAACTTCAGGGTAAGCACCGTAAAGATGGGGATCTTCACGGGTTTTCCTCACTGACGTCTCCCAAAAGCTAAAGCAGGGCCTGGAATATAAACATGTCGTACATAATTTGCAGGTGTTCGTTTCAGCGTCCTTCCGGATTCATTTGTAACATTCGTCCCTTCCCTCACTAAGGTAGTGTCTCAAGTACCACACTCATCAGAGCGTGTGGAATGAGTATCACAGTGGTAAAATTGAACTGAGGGCAATTAGCCATAGAAATAAAGAATTCCGCCCCCCCACCTATTAAATATGCGATAAAACGGATAATTATTAATCACCCATTGGTAGATGAATTTAATCGATAAAATTCCACTGAGGCTAGTCCTGTGTGAAAGCCCTACAGAGTGTTGAAAGCATCAACCAAATAGGCAATGTGTACTAAGTTCCTGTCAACCTTTTACGGCAGTTTTATGTGAAATGTTAGAAATCACGCTTTCAACAATCGTATCTTGCGGTAGAAACTACAACAGTCTATTTAAATTACAACCGTCTATGAAAATAAGATACCATCTTACATACAGCTGGGATGGGGAGGAGGGAGAAAAGCAACAGGACGAAAAGGAAGATTAAGAAATTGAAAGAGGGTCGTGCGCAGTAGTTTAGGCCTGTAATCCCAACACTTTGGGAGGCTGAGGCGGGCCGATCACTGACGTCAGGAGTTCAAGACCAGCCTGGACAACATGGTGAAACCCTGTCTCTACTAAAAATACAAAGAAAATTAGCCGGGTGTGGTGACGCACGCTTGTAATCCCAGGTACCCAGGAGGGTGAGGCAGGAGAATCGCTGGAACTTGGGAGATGGAGGTTACAGTGAGCCGAGATCACACCATTGCACTCCAGCCTGGGGGACAGAGCAAGAGTCAGTCTCAAAAGTAAATAAATAAGTAAAAAATAAATTGGAAGAGAAGAAGAAAGCTCTCCAGGCAATTTATTATAATTTCAGTACGAGAGATACAAAACAACCCCTTAAAGTAGTATCACTTAATTATAGGTTCCTAATCTCATTTGTAACAATGCAGTATCTATGTGTGCCAAAGCCCGGAGAGGCAAACATATAATTCCTTATGTGTGACACTATATATATATAAATATATCTCTGTCCTCTTGATTAAAAACAGACAAACATTACCATATTTTGCTATTTCAAAAGTGTATCCAGTGTGAATTTTGAAAATACAGACTGGTTTAAAATATTTTGAACAAGCCAGGGAAAAAAATGATGTACTTTTATGGACAACACTACCACCTTCTGGCCTTATGGGATACTGCTGCCCATTGCACTTGGACAACTACAGCCAAAAACATTTTTATCTTTGCCTTTCCCACCAGTAAACAAGATAAATGGGTTAATAAGCTGGGGAATCTATGAGCCATTAACCTGCTAATCCTGGCATAGGGTAGTAAATAAATCTTGAAGACAACAATACAGGGAAGGAGGAAGTGAGTAAAGTAAATCCGAACTTTATTTTTTAAAAGATGCATTATTTTTTTAGTCATCCCTCTAATCAATGGAAAAAGATGCAGTTTCTCTTTTTTTTTGATTGAGACAGAGTCTCACTTGGTCACCCAGGCTAGGGTCAGTGCCGTGATTTCAGCTCACTGCAACCTCCGCCTCCTGGGTTGAGACGATTCTCATGCCTCGGCCTCTGGAGTAGCTAGGATTACAGGCACACGCTACCATGCCTGGCTAACTTTTGTATTTTTAGTAAAGACAGGGTTTCACCAAGTTGGCCAGGCTGGTCTCAAGCTCCTGACCTCAGTAGTCCACCTGCCTCAGCCTCCAAAAGTGCTGGGATTACAGATGTGAGCCACTGTGCCCGGCCAAAAGATGCATTCTTAAAAACAAATTTGCAACACTGGGATTTTCCTTGAGTGATGATTGTTTAAATATATACACATTTTGAGAGGGAGACATTACTGCACTGTATCACAGGACGGTTATATTCAACACAGGGCTTTTTTTTTTTTTTTTTTTTGGTCAAGTAACAATTCATGGCTATGATATACTTAAATATTTTGCCTGTGTGAGCATATATGTAATTAAGTTGAGGAAAGATGACAAGTAGAATATTGTGTGATGTTTCTTCTCTACACAAAATAAAGGAAAATCTTTAAAATCCTAGCAGTCTTCTAAGTTTAGTTATACAACATGAACGCTTGACTCTTTTTTGTATAAAGACCATAACTTACTAACTTCTAAATGATTTTCAGTACTCCTTAAAGTTTTGATAAGCTGGCCGGGCGTGGTGGCTCACACCTGTAATCCTAGCACTTTGGGAGGCCGAGGCAGGCAGATCACCTGAGGTCAGGAGTTCGAGACCAGCCTGGCCAACATGGCAAAAACCCATCTCTACTAAAAATACAAAAATTAGCTGGGCATGGTGGCAGGCACCTGTAATCACAGCTACTTGGGAAGCTGAGGCAGGAGAATCACTTGAACCTGGGAGGCAGAGATTACAGTGAGCCGAGATTGCACCATTGCACCCCCAGCCTGGGCGACAAGAGTGAAACTTTGTCTCAAAAAAGCAGAAAAAAAATTGATAAGCCTTACTGTTATCCATCATCACAACACTCTGAACGTGACTGCTGACCACTCAAAGGCTACCAGCAGTTAATATCTTCTCAGTGGAGTTCAAGCAGCCCTGTGGAATAACAGCACCGTCCCATTTTCTCATTTTCAATTCATATTTGGGGCCAGGCGCAGTGGCTCCTGCCTGCAATCCCAGCACTTTGGGAAGCCAACGCAGGCAGATCACTTGAGGCCAGGAGTTTGAGACCGGCCTGGCCAACATGGTGAAACCTCATCTCTACTAAAAATGCAAAGAAAATTAGCCAGGCATGGTGATGCATGCCTGTAATCCCAGCTACTCGGGAGCCTGAGGCAGGAGAATCGCTTGAACCCAGGAAGTGGAGATTGCGGTGAGCCAAGATTGTACCACTTCACTCCAGCCTGGGTGACAGAGTGAGACTCCATCTCAAAGAGAAAAAAAAAAAATCCAAAGATTCAAATGCCTTTATGTTCAGGATATTTTGTTCCCAATTTCAGTCATTGATTGTATTTTTACTCTGTGACTTCACATTTAAAATGTCTGAACAACTGAAATCAACATTTAAATGTCTTTTTCAAAGTGCTGTGAAGTCCGATGTGTTACTCTGAATATGGTTTTGTTTTTGTTGATTTTGTTATTTATTAAAAATGGAATCCTTGACTTTTTTTATATTTACTTATTATTCTTGTAGAATAAATGTACTTCATGCTTCATACTCTGGAAGTGCTGGCCGCGCTGCTCTGAGTCTTTCAGGGAGCACCATCACTGTGCAGCCCAAGCTTTTCCCAGACACTTCTGGACAGGTGCTCCTAAGGGGCACATTCACCTAGAAAAGTGCACCAGAAAGGAAAAAAAAAAAAAAAACAGCATATTTTTTAATGTTGTAACCTAAATTTTCATTGCCTACAATTGTAATACTTTATACATCTATAGTGATACTTCATACTTTCAAAATATGCTCTTCAGTTATACAACTTGAAGGGTCAGATATTGTTATTTCTGTCTTACAGAGGAGAAAATACAGTCATAGGACAAAATGCAGAAGCAGTAAATGAAACAGGTGGGACTGGAACTCAGGCCTCCTGACCAGCTCAGCTCTTTCTCCTACATTACAATGTCTGTGTACACTCACACAGAGCGAGAATGAAGTCCTGAGCCTGGCCGTGGGGACTCACACCTGTAATCCCAGCACTGTGGTAGGCTGAGGCGGGAGCATCATTTGAGCTCACAAGTTTGAGACCAGCCTGGGCAATGTGACGAAAATCCATCTCTACAAAAAATACAAAAAATTAACCAGGTGTGGTGGTGCACACCTATAATCCCAGCTGCTCAGAAGGCTGAGGCACAAGAATCACTTGAACCCTGGAGGCAGAGGCTGCAGTGACCCGAGATCATGCCACTGCACTCCAGCCTGGGCAATACAGTGAGACCTTGTCTCAAAAAAAAAAAAAAAGAAAGAAAGAAAAAAAAATGTTTTGAGGAAAAGTAGAGGATTGAGATAAAAGGTATTAACAATGGTGTATCAGTGAGTTCATGAGAGACCTTGGAAAATACTAGGCTAAGCAATAATCATGTTTCACCTACTTAACGTGATTGATTCTCCTTTAAGATAATTATTTTTAAACCATTATAGATGTATGACGTTCTGATCTGAATATAAGTGTAATTATTAGCTTCAACTAGTTAAGAAGATTTGTCTTCGAAAAGACTTCATAAATACGAATTTTAGGCCAAGCCACTATTCTATGCTTACAGAAATTGGAGCCTGTAAAGGTTAAGTGACTTACCCCAAATTACTGCTAGTTGGCCTGAGAGAATTCAAATATATTTCCTATAACACAAACTTTCCAAATACTCTTTTATAGCCGTATTACATAATTCTGATCAGATTTCAAATGTTAGGACAAGCAGTAGCTTACTCCTTAATTCCAGTGGGAAATTAAAAACAAAATAGGCCCCAAAATATCTATTCTTTGAGACAGTTGCTTGAGGCCAAGGCTTGAGTGCAGTGGAATGATCTCAGCTCACTGCAACCTCCACCTCCTAGGTTTAAGCAATCCTCCCACCTCAACCTTCCAAGTAGCTGGGACCACAGGTGCACACCAATACCTGGCTAACTGTTGTACTTTTTTGCAGAGACAAAAAAGAGACAGGGTTTCACCATGTTGCCCAGGCTGGTCTGGAACTCCTGAGCTCAGGTAATCCACCCACCTCTTCCTCCCAAAGTGCTGGGATTACAGGTGTAAGCACCACAACCGGCCACAAAAATACTTTTGTTTTGTAGCAAAGTTTGATGTTTGACAATAATTGCTTAAAAATGGAGAATTCTCAATAAAATCTTAACCAGAGTTTTTGTGTTATGTAAATTAAAGAAAAATTTTCAGACTGAATCACACTTTGCTGATGAGACAATGCAAAAGTATTTTTTCAAGCCT